AAAGCTTTAATAGCTGCTTTATTAGCTTGTAATCGAGTAAACCAGAAGTTAATTAGTTAATTTATAAAAGATTTTCCAAAAATTTCTATTTAATTTTTGAAGGTTTTTAACACCGTTGTAATATGAGTTTTCCATTGATACTAATTTAGGTGGTTCCATTACGTAATAAGGTTGTAAAGCTACTGCTTCATTATTCTCGTTAAGTACAGGTGTTTTAGATAACATTTTGATATAAAATTTAACGTTTATAATATTACTACTTTGTTTTAATGTTAAAGTTTTAAGTGATTTATTAATAATATTATCTCTTCTCAGAGAAATTACTGCACCTTTTCTGATAGCTTTAAGCTCTTCAAAAGTAATTACTTTGTATTGCTCTACTAAAACTTCTTTTCCGTTAATTGTTACAATGTGCTCTGGTACAGTTTTAATTGGTGCTCCAGCGATGACAACTTTACTATTACTAGGTGTTCTATACCCGTAGAATTTTTTATTTAAAAAAATGGCTTCAACAATTTTTTCACCTTTCAATTCATCTTTAAATAACTGTGCTACCCCAATTACATTCTTATTTAATAAATAAACTGAATTATATGATTATAAATTGCATAACTAGGTGATTCAACACTAAATACATTATGTAATTTAATATCTCTAAAATTATCTGTCGAATAAGATCTAGAGTTCATTAAAACAAGATTAAAGTCTAGAGCATTTAATTTGCTACTAGATGTTACTTGAAAACCACATGTTTGTTGACCATATAATAATCGCAGAAGTTCGATTTAAGCTCTTATTTTGTATTATTCCAACGGTTGTGGAAGGAAAACTAGTTATTTCTTTATATAGGTCTTGACAAATCGATTTAAAATTCTGATTACAGAGTAATTAAGTAGTTTTTATCTTTTTAAATTTTTTTTAGTATAAGTAATAGACTAAGGGGTTGTAACTTAATTGGTAAAGTTCCCAACTTTTAATTGGTATTATTAGGGTTCAAATCCCTACAACCTCAATAAACTAAGGGTAGCAGGAAATAATAAAGTCAATATAAATTCGAAAAATTTAAGCTATGGTAAAAATGGTTTCTACTAATTTTAAAATACAGGCAGGTTTTTATAAACAATATATTGTTTATAAATAAATTTTTAGCCCAAATTATCGAATTTTAATTATGAATATAAGAAATAGTTAGGAGTGTAGTTAACTTGGTTATAATAGGTGAGTAAATTTGGTATTAGAAGATTAATTTGGTAATAGAAGATTAATAATTATACTATGTTAACAAATATGGTTTTTAATGATACCTATTTAACTTTTTTAGTAAGTATATTATATAAGTAATGGAAATATTTATTATCCATATTAACTTTAAAGGTTAAATGCGGAAAAATCCGCTCTAAATATTTAACTCACTTCCCACATTGTTCTCGTTAACAATAAATAGGGTATTGAAAAGAGGTAACCTACTATCTTATGATAGGAAATTATAATATAGCATGAAAACTAACTTAAACACTACTAATTTATTTACTACTCCTTTTATTAATACTATTAGCAATCAATCTAATTTAATTACTCCGTTAGTCTTTACTAAACATATTAATTCTGCTATTCATTTAGCAGAATTAATGATTAATGGTTTACCTGAAGATAGTCCGGTTAAAAAAGTTATTGATGAAGTAACTAATAAACCTGCTAAGGTTACAGGATACATTGATTCTAATGGTAAATTAAAATCCAATTCTAAATCTGTATTCAATACAAAGTCTAATTCTTGGAAACCAAATCTTCCTAGATTAGCAGGAGTTTATCTATTTAATAATACATTATTAGATATTCAGTATATCGGATCAGCTATGGAATTCAATGGTAGAGTAAAATTACATCGACAAAAAGTACGACATCCTTCATCTTTATTCCATAAATTTGTATTTAATAATACTTGGGTAAATTTTGAATTCAGTACCTTATATGAAACTACAAATTATTTAAAAGAATTTAAGTTAAGATATCCTACATATAATTTATCTGCAGGAGAAATGACTATTTTATCTCACTTAACTCATTTAGAGGCTAGAATTCTTGAGCAATCTTTAATTTCTAAATTTTCTCCAAAATTAAATTCAGAAAGAGAAGTAGTATTTTCACATACTTCTTGGGATCCATCTACATTAAATTTAGCTTATAACATTAAAAGTCCTCACGCAATTGCTGTTGAAGTATTATTAGAAGATACTAAAGAAATTCTTGTAACTTACCCATCTATTCAAAAAGCTGCTGCAGGATTAGGTGCGTCTGTTATAACAATTAATAGATTTTTAAATAAATCTTATAGTTTTGAAAGTACTTCTTTAGAACTTGATGTACTTGTACGAACACCTAATGGAACAATTAGTGATTCTCCTATTGTATATCCTGTTGCATCTTCTAAAGTAAAACAATATCCTTTAATTAACTATGATATTAATTCCTTAGAGGAAGGTTATATTTATGCATTAGATTCTACTAAATCTAATTGTGTATATAAATTTGATAGTGTAATTACAGCAACTAAAACATTGGATCCTACTAAATTTAAAGGGAAAGATATTAAACAATTATATGTTAGACATATTTCCAGATATTTAAATTTAGAAAAATTAGTTAAGACTGAATTAGGTGAATTTTATTTTGTATGTAATCCTAATTATTTAACTAATTTTAGAGCTAAATGGGCTCCAAAAGAAGTATGGGCTATTAATTTAACTACTGGAGTAGCATTAAAATACGATAGTTTACTTAAAGCCTCTAAAGACTTAAATTTAAGTTGGGCTATGTATAGACACCTAGATAAATATACTATTTTTAAAGATAATTATCAATTCTTTAGTCATGATGAATTTATTAAACATTATAGTAATGTCAATGGTAGTAAACATAAATGTAATTTAAATACACTTCCACTCAAATAATTAACCTTCACATTCGAATAATTAACTTAGAATTTATAAACTCCCTCTTTTCTTTAATAAAGGTAATTATTGAATATACTCAACTTAATTGATATGGTTAACTGTATAAGTAAAGAATAATTCTAAAAATAGTTGTCTGTTATTTCTTAATTTTATTTAATTCTATAAAAAAGAGTGATAGAGGAGTGTAGTTAAATTGGCATAACGCGGATCTCCAAAATCCTTGTAGTGGGTTCAAATCCTACCTCTCCTGTAAAATTGTTGAATTTAACATTTAGAAAGATTTCAGGTATCTTCATAATAAAGAGTGAGGGATCTCCAAAATCCCGGTAGTGGGTTCGAATCCTACCTCTCCTGAAATTAATAAAATAATGATAATAAATCACTTTTTAATTAGATATAAGTAATACAATGATTGTTATTTTGGAAAACTATATTGTCAGTAAACAAAGTTTCCTGATCTATTAGTAAAAGATTGAATCTTTATCTAAATTCTGGTAAAATTCTCGTGGGATTAGAACAGAACTAATTTAAATAAATTAACTTTGACAAATGTACTAAATAAGTCTGGTAACTCAATCGGTAGAGTGATATGTTGATAACGTATAAGTTAGAGGTTCAAGCCCTCTTCAGACTATAAAATTGATATATAAAATTCAAAGGATACCTTAGGATTAAGAGATTGTTGATATTTCTCCACTTCCTGGGTTTTAATTAAGAAGTCTTTCAGAGGTAAGTATGAAAGTATTAGGTAACATTTTAACTACGGATAAAGATCCAAGAATATAAATAACAAATTTGTATATACAAATAATTTTGAATTATTTGTTTAATTAGTCCCGCGGCTACTAGGGTAATGGTTACCAAAGGACCTAGGTTTAAAATTAATAAGGTATATGGCTGACTGGTAAAGCATTTTACTTGAAATAAAACATATGTGGGTTCGATTCCTACTATACCTAAAATTTAAGATGGAGGAGATGACAGAATAAGACAAATCAAGAATAACTTTTGTTAAAAGTAAAGAATTTCTGATAAAATAAAGAGAAAAATTCTTTATAATATTAATAATTAAATAAAATAAGAGATTGATATAAGAATAACATTAAAAACAATTTTATATTTTATGTATTTTAGTTTAAACAATATCTAAAATTCTTCTTTATTTTACATAAGTGAAACTTAAAAGAAATGAATAGTTTTGGTAGCTTAAATGGTAGAGCGTACGACTGAAAATCGTAGTGAGGAGGTTCAATTCCTCCCCAGAGCAAAATTAGAGAACGACGGGGCGGAGCCCGTTGTTCAAGGGGCCTTCGGCCCTCGAACTTTCCAGAACAAATAAAGTCCCTGCAGTTCAATGCCTAACAAAAAACCTTTAATCATATTTATAGAAAAATGATACTTGATTATCTTATTTTTAATTTATAGCGGCTGAAGGCCGGGTATGGCCCGCCAGTAGGTATAAAATAATAAGGATAGATAGAAGTATAAATAATTAATTGTATATTTTCACAAAATATTTTCACAAAATATTTTCATTCTCAAATTTTGTATAACATATAAATGGATATTGATATATTAAGCAGAAATAAATTTTAAGGGGACTTTGTCTTATGCCTTTAATTTAAATAAATTCCCTCAAGGATAAAGAAAATAATCCATTAAAAAGCCCGGCCACAAAGTTACCGGTATAGCTGGCCAAGCCTATTTTTTATAACTCACCATAAATAGGATATAATGTATACTAGGTAACGTTTTCAGTATTTAGTCATTAGTACTTAGGACTAAGCTATATATTAAAAATCCTTTAGAGCCATAAGAACTTTAAGAATTCAGAAGGAGTGTGCTCATTACAGGTACGGCCGCCAGTAAAATTAAAAGGCCCGAGTTTTATCCTCGATTCATCGGAAGAGTCGAGTTATAAATCTAGGCCCTCCGGGCCTGACCCGGAGCGGCTAAGCCCCCCGGGCTATAATTAAAAAGCCCTATTAAAAGGGCCAAGGTAGGCTAAGAATAAGAATGATTAATAAATAAAAATAGAAGTAATAACAAAATATAACATTGGAATAAAGCCCGGCCGGTCGGCTCGGACCGGCGGGAAATACTCGGCTTTTAAAAAAGTAATAAAATTAATAAACACTATACGGTTAACCACTGATAAACTAACAAACGATAATTATAAGTAAAGTCAGTAAATTAGACATTAATTCTAAACATCAGACCAACTAGCATAATTGGTAATGCGATAGATTGCAAATCTTCCAGATAAGTGTTCAAGGATTAAAAACTTATACCAAACAAGTAACATTATATAAAACTGCGTCCAAATTATATAAGTAATGATAGTTTTATGATTATCATTAATAATAACTTTAAAGGTTAAATGTGGAAGAATTCGCTCTAAAAGTTTAACTTACTTCCCATATTGTTCTCATTAAACAATAAGTAGGGTATTAAAAAGAGGCAACTACTATTTTCAATTATTCACTAAAATAGTTGATATTTCTATTTAATAAATGGAAATGTAGAATAGGAAATAACATTTTATTTAAATGAAAACTAATTTAACAACTACTAAATTTTTTATTAATACTATTAATAACCAAACTAATCTATATACTCCATTAGTTATGACTAAACAAATTGAAAAAGCATTATATTTAGCAGAATTAATGTATTTATGTTTGCCAAATAATAATTTAGTTAAACAAGTTATTGATGAAGTAGCTAATAAATCTGTAAAAGTTACATGATTTATTAACTCTAACAACAAGCTAGAGTCTAATAATAAATCTGTTTTAAGTAAATCAAGTAATTTTAAACCTTCAATTCCTAAATCTGCTGGAGTCTACTTATTTACTCATACATTAACTCAATTTCAATATATTGGTTCTGCTTCTAGTTTTTTTAATAGAGTACAAAACCATAGATTATTGGTACGAAATCCTTCAACAAAATTTCATAAATTTGTATCTGATAATACTTGGAAAGATTTTAATTTTGGAACTTTATATGAGACTACAAATTACTTAATGGAATTTAAATCAAAGTATCCTTTATATAAATTATCTATTGGAGAAATGATTATTTTATCTCATCTAACTCATTTAGAAACAAGAACATTAGAACAATCTTTGATTACACAGTTTTCTCCTGAATTTAATAATTCAGGAATAGACGTATATTTTAGTTATAGTTCATGGGATCCTTCTACTTTAGACCAATCTAATTATTTAAAATATACTAATGCAGTACAAGTAGAAGTTTGGCTTAAGGATTCAAATAGAATTTTAACTACTTACCCTTCTATTTATAAAGCAGCTAAAGGTTTAGGAGTGTCTAGAAATTTAATTTCTGCATATCTTAATAAACCTTATAGTTTTGAAAGTAATCTATTAGAATTAAATGTATCGGTTAAATCCCCTAACGCAACTATTGATAATTCTCCTATTAATTTTAATAAATCCAAAACTTATCCTAAAATTGATTATAATTTCAATTCATTAGAAGAAGGATTAATCTACGCGTTATGCCCAGATAAATCAGAGATTAAACATACATTTAAATCTTCTCAAGAGGCGACAAAAATGTTAAATCCAATTAAATATAGAAATAATAATAATAAAATTAATTGGAAAGTTATTTATAACTATTTAAATCAAGAGAAATTAGTAAGTACTGAATTAGGTACTTTTTATTTTATTTGTAATCCTTTAACATTAATTAAGAATAAATCAAAAGGAGTATCCAAAACATTATGGATTATTGATTTAACTAATGGATTAGCTTTAAGATTTGATTCTACTATTTCAGCTTCTCAATATTTTAAATTAAGAAGTCATTCTTCTATTTCTTTACATTTGGACAAATATACATTATATAGAAATAGATATCAAATTGTAAGCAATAATGAATTTATTCAATTCTTTCCTGATGTAACAGATACAAAATATCATTGTGATTTAAATAAACTACCCTTAATAAAAATTAACTTAGGATCTGAGTAATATGCAGATCCACCCTCTAATTACCTTTAGATTGTTCATTATAAAACCTATATACTAAATTTTATTAGAAGCTATGAACATTATTTGAAGTATTTATTTAAAGATTTGATCTTCTTTACTTATTTATTGATAGGAATTATCCCTATCTTTGATTAAAATATCTAGTTTAAAAGATAAGAATAAATCAGATTAGTTTCAAACTAATCTTAATTAAAAGAGACTAATTAACATATTTGGTAATGTACCGGATTGCAAATCTGGTTAAAAGTGTTCGATTCACTTATTAGTCTATGCAAAACAAGTCACTTGTTGGTCTATAAAAGTGTAAATTTGAATTCTATTTATTTGTATATATAATAATAAAATAATATAATGGAATTTATACAAAGTGTGTGAATAATATAAATAACGTATTATAAATAAATTAAAAATTTGGCCGTTTTAAATGGTTCGACTCTATTTATTCCTAATTTTTTAATTATAAGTTGGAAATGTTCATTCTATATTTTACTAAATTAAAATATAACATTTTTATCTTATGTTTTTATTAATAACATCAAAATTATCCCATTAAAAAGACCGGCCACAAAGTTACCGGTATAGCTGGCCAAGCCTATTTTTTATAACTCACCATAAATAGGATATAATGTATACTAGGTAACGTTTTCAGTATTTAGTCATTAGTACTTAGGACTAAGCTATATATTAAAAATCCTTTAGAGCCATAAGAACTTTAAGAATTCAGAAGGAGTGTGCTCATTACAGGTACGGCCGCCAGTAAAATTAAAAGGCCCGAGTTTTATCCTCGATTCATCGGAAGAGTCGAGTTATAAATCTAGGCCCTCCGGGCCTGACCCGGAGCGGCTAAGCCCCCCGGGCTATAATTAAAAAGCCCTATTAAAAGGGCCAAGGTAGGCTAAGAATAAGAATGATTAATAAATAAAAATAGAAGTAATAACAAAATATAACATTGGAATAAAGCCCGGCCGGTCGGCTCGGACCGGCGGGAAATACTCGGCTTTTAAAAAAGTAATAAAATTAATAAACACTATACGGTTAACCACTGATAAACTAACAAACGATAATTATAAGTAAAGTCAGTAAATTAGACATTAATTCTAAACATCAGACCAACTAGCATAATTGGTAATGCGATAGATTGCAAATCTTCCAGATAAGTGTTCAAGGATTAAAAACTTATACCAAACAAGTAACATTATATAAAACTGCGTCCAAATTATATAAGTAATGATAGTTTTATGATTATCATTAATAATAACTTTAAAGGTTAAATGTGGAAGAATTCGCTCTAAAAGTTTAACTTACTTCCCATATTGTTCTCATTAAACAATAAGTAGGGTATTAAAAAGAGGCAACTACTATTTTCAATTATTCACTAAAATAGTTGATATTTCTATTTAATAAATGGAAATGTAGAATAGGAAATAACATTTTATTTAAATGAAAACTAATTTAACAACTACTAAATTTTTTATTAATACTATTAATAACCAAACTAATCTATATACTCCATTAGTTATGACTAAACAAATTGAAAAAGCATTATATTTAGCAGAATTAATGTATTTATGTTTGCCAAATAATAATTTAGTTAAACAAGTTATTGATGAAGTAGCTAATAAATCTGTAAAAGTTACAGGATTTATTAACTCTAACAACAAGCTAGAGTCTAATAATAAATCTGTTTTAAGTAAATCAAGTAATTTTAAACCTTCAATTCCTAAATCTGCTGGAGTCTACTTATTTACTCATACATTAACTCAATTTCAATATATTGGTTCTGCTTCTAGTTTTTTTAATAGAGTACAAAACCATAGATTATTGGTACGAAATCCTTCAACAAAATTTCATAAATTTGTATCTGATAATACTTGGAAAGATTTTAATTTTGGAACTTTATATGAGACTACAAATTACTTAATGGAATTTAAATCAAAGTATCCTTTATATAAATTATCTATTGGAGAAATGATTATTTTATCTCATCTAACTCATTTAGAAACAAGAACATTAGAACAATCTTTGATTACACAGTTTTCTCCTGAATTTAATAATTCAGGAATAGACGTATATTTTAGTTATAGTTCATGGGATCCTTCTACTTTAGACCAATCTAATTATTTAAAATATACTAATGCAGTACAAGTAGAAGTTTGGCTTAAGGATTCAAATAGAATTTTAACTACTTACCCTTCTATTTATAAAGCAGCTAAAGGTTTAGGAGTGTCTAGAAATTTAATTTCTGCATATCTTAATAAACCTTATAGTTTTGAAAGTAATCTATTAGAATTAAATGTATCGGTTAAATCCCCTAACGCAACTATTGATAATTCTCCTATTAATTTTAATAAATCCAAAACTTATCCTAAAATTGATTATAATTTCAATTCATTAGAAGAAGGATTAATCTACGCGTTATGCCCAGATAAATCAGAGATTAAACATACATTTAAATCTTCTCAAGAGGCGACAAAAATGTTAAATCCAATTAAATATAGAAATAATAATAATAAAATTAATTGGAAAGTTATTTATAACTATTTAAATCAAGAGAAATTAGTAAGTACTGAATTAGGTACTTTTTATTTTATTTGTAATCCTTTAACATTAATTAAGAATAAATCAAAAGGAGTATCCAAAACATTATGGATTATTGATTTAACTAATGGATTAGCTTTAAGATTTGATTCTACTATTTCAGCTTCTCAATATTTTAAATTAAGAAGTCATTCTTCTATTTCTTTACATTTGGACAAATATACATTATATAGAAATAGATATCAAATTGTAAGCAATAATGAATTTATTCAATTCTTTCCTGATGTAACAGATACAAAATATCATTGTGATTTAAATAAACTACCCTTAATAAAAATTAACTTAGGATCTGAGTAATATGCAGATCCACCCTCTAATTACCTTTAGATTGTTCATTATAAAACCTATATACTAAATTTTATTAGAAGCTATGAACATTATTTGAAGTATTTATTTAAAGATTTGATCTTCTTTACTTATTTATTGATAGGAATTATCCCTATCTTTGATTAAAATATCTAGTTTAAAAGATAAGAATAAATCAGATTAGTTTCAAACTAATCTTAATTAAAAGAGACTAATTAACATATTTGGTAATGTACCGGATTGCAAATCTGGTTAAAAGTGTTCGATTCACTTATTAGTCTATGCAAAACAAGTCACTTGTTGGTCTATAAAAGTGTAAATTTGAATTCTATTTATTTGTATATATAATAATAAAATAATATAATGGAATTTATACAAAGTGTGTGAATAATATAAATAACGTATTATAAATAAATTAAAAATTTGGCCGTTTTAAATGGTTCGACTCTATTTATTCCTAATTTTTTAATTATAAGTTGGAAATGTTCATTCTATATTTTACTAAATTAAAATATAACATTTTTATCTTATGTTTTTATTAATAACATCAAAATTATCCCATTAAAAAGACCCTCTTAGAATTATATAAATGATGTATAATGATTCATTCTATTCGCGATTTAAAATTTTTAACACAACTATTTACGGTATTTGAGGTCGTCGGCGGCTTCGCCGCCGACGCCTTAAATAATATTAATCCGGCTTCCAGCGGGTCTAAAATGAGGGCAAGCCTTAATATTAAATTGGCAAAATTCCTTAATATGAAATTATTATATAAGTAAACAATTTCTTTATTAGATTTATCTACTTAATTCTTTTTCAAATATGAGGAAATACTGATTGGTCAGTGAGCGAGCTGTAACCTCGTGAGTTCTTAACTCTTTGTGGGTTCGAATCCCTCTTTCCTCAAAGACAAAATCAAAATCTTATAAAAATAAGAATAATAGAAAATATTACATTGAGTAATAAATAGTCCCGGTTCCGTCTGAAACTCCAGACAAGGCCGAGAAAAGGCTAAAAGCCTTGGACGGGGCTTCGCCCCTTCGGCCTCACCCGGATCTAAAATATTTAATCAAAATAATAATCTAAATGCAGCAAATTTAATCAAAATATATTTATAAGTAAGAATGATTTTATAATCTGTAGTTAAATAATCAAAATAGTTTTTTTTTTAATGCGGATTGATGTAATGGTAGCATGTTAGACTCATGATCTAGAAGAGATAGTTCAAATCTATCATCCGCTCAATAAATTAAAGTCCCGTTCTAAAACGGATATCTCAGACCCGCGCATTGCGCGGACAAAGAGAATAATTTTCAATTAAAGAAATTTTTGGTCCGGATGGCCGCCTGATACAAAGGGTCGTGGTTTCTGGATTTTAATAAGAGGGAAGTAATAAATAAAAATATTCGAAGTACGGATCTCAAATTGAGAAGCCGAGGAGAGCGAAGCGGAGAAGTTTTCTTGCGAGAGGGCCGAGAAAAGGCTAAAAGCCTTGCACGGGGCTTCGCCCCTTCGGGCTTCGGCCCTCTCACTCTCCTTGGGCTAAGGGCTAAACCTTCGGTCCTCCTCCAGGATCTTAAATATTACTGCTACTATTTGTTAAATTTAAACCTCAATTTGTTAAATTTAAACCTCAATTTATTTATGATCATGACACGAAGATTTTTACACAACAATTTAACGGTTACCTTAAGTCTCTTTATTTCCAAGGTTCTGTTTATTATTTCCTTTACTGTTGGAAGAAGAAAAAATAATCATATAAAAATAAAATAAGGAGATTATTGTTAAAAAATATATATAAATTAAACCCACCCTACTTTACTAAATACCTTTAAACTATTCTAGATATAATAGTAAACCCACTTAATGTTATATTATTTTTGTTACTTTTAGAAGGAAAAGGAGAAAGTTGAACAAAAACCTTTAAAATTAACTAAAATTCTCTCTAATTTACTCTATTCCAGATAAAGGTTATTACAACATATTAAATCTTAAGCCTAATTAAGAACGACTCAATATTTCTAGGTTGTGAATTCCTAGCGTATTGCATTATACTATAAGCCCTAAAACCCCACTTACTTAATAAATGGGTAAAATAGATTGTATTTTAAATACGTCAAGATTGTCGTTTGGAGAAGCGCCAAGCATATATTTAATATGCTACTTATATTTTTTGTTTTTCAGAAGCTTTTATTAAGAGATAGGCAAAATCCACCAAGCAAGATTTATTTCTTGCTACTTATATTATTAAAAATAATGAAAACTTTTTAGAAATGGTTCATTTGGTTCATTGTAAAGATCAATACGAGTGTTTACTACAAATTTTAATTAATATTTTGATAGGTTCATTTTTAGTTCATAAAAGTTACATTAAAGAATATCTAAGTCCTATCGAATTTGCACCAATACTACCAAGATCAAGGCTTCTGGCATGCTACTATTACATCAAGGACCTTTAAATCTATTCGCTACTTATATCATTTACAGTACCTTTAAATCTAAGGATAAAGTCTATTTAAGTCTTAGTAAATGGCTAGTTATTTAAGTTATTACTAAAGGACGATATCTAAACACTGCAGTACCTAGATTACAATCATACCTCCATCTCTACTAAAGCTTCCAGAAACTGTTCCTATACACAGATACAGCATTTACATCTCGTTATACTTCCATTTTTACCATGGTTACAAATTTATTTACTAAGTATTTAAAGAGGCCAAAGGCCTGGGTGAAGCTATAATCATTACTATTACCTTTATCCTTAGGGGTAGATAAATTATATTTCAGATTTATCTTTTAAGTAGCAATGTAGATAAATCGAGATAACTCCTATCACTTAAAATATAAAATGTAGATAGATTGAGGTAACTCTTATCATCTAAAATATGAACTAAAAAATGTAAATTTTATTATTATCTTTATTATTTGGTTGGTTTTTAGCTAGTTTAACAATTAATTTGGTTAATTTAATTTTTATTAAATTTTTAAATCTAACTTCCTTGAAATCTAAAGTTATTTCTATTTTTATTGGTGGTTTATTAGGAATTATTTTTTTAAGTATGATTCCATATGAACTTTTCAATGAAAGTATGAATACATACTGTGCTACTAATTCTGAGGAAGAATCTAATCCTTATATGGTAACTGTAGGTTCAGAACACTATAATTCTAAATTTTCTTTTGATATTAGAAATTTAAGAGATTTAGGTGCACTTGGAGTTATTGGTAAGACTAGTGTTTCTGTTGCAAAATCTGTACCAGCTTCAGCTAAAGTTGCTGCTATTGGTACTGCATCAGCTATGGGAACAGCTTACCTAGGCGTTAGAATTATTGAGCATATTGAAAACCAAAAAAGAGTATTTACTATTACTAAAAATAATGAAAGTGTTGATTTAACTATTCAACCTAATCCTAAAATCGGAGGAACTGAAAAAGATGTAGAAGAAGTAGCTAAAAATATTAATATTAATTCACCTTACGAGGCTTCTGAAAATTTAGAAGGTATTAAAAATATTAATTCACCTTACGAAGCTTCTGAAATTTTAGAAGGTATTAAAATAATTTTATTTTGTACAGAAATTCTTTCTACATTAGCTATTATCAGTTTCATTATTTGTAGTTTATTAATTTATATTAAATTTGTAAGTTCAAGTAAATTAAATAACATCAAAAATTCTTTTGTTATTAAACTTGTTAGTTTAGTACAAAAAGCAGGTAACATTTATATTTATGTTTGGGGTATTTTAACATTATTTAATATTAATACAATTCTCTATTTAACTATTAGATTATCTAGATTTTTAGACACTCTTACATAATTATTTACTAAATAACCAGTTTATCTTCATTATACAACATTTCAATTACCCTCCCCTTCCTCTATTAATACCTTTAAAGTGATGTATATGTAGACTTAATGTTAAAACTTTTTGATCTAAGATTTAAATTTATAGAAAATCTATTGATATTTTAGTATAAATATTTTTTAATAACAAGAAATATTAATTATATATTCTAATATACATAAACTTTAATTTATTTAATTATTTTTCATAATAAAGGTATTTCTTATTTACTATATAAGTATTAAACAAGAAGATAGTATAATGGTAATACCCCAGAATCGCGAATATGGGAAATAAGGGTTCGAGTTCAACTTAACCTAAGATTATTTTATAATCGGCTATTAATAATTATTATGCTAATAAATGCATAATAAAGTACAATATAAGTTGGTTTATATCTTATAAAAAAATATCTTTTTAAAAAAGTACCGGAGGGAACGTTGAAAAGTAAGTAGATAACTGGTGAAAAGATCTTGAACCGGTAGTTCTATAAGCAACGGAATCTTATTTAAATTTAGATGAAGAACGACGGGCGGAGCCCGTTGTTCAAGGGGCCTTTGGCCCCTCGAACTATTATTAATCTCGTATTTAAAAATAGATGAAATAATCTCCCAATAAACACGTGTAGTTTGTTTAATAAATTGTGTAAAATTTTTAGCATTTTAAAAGGTTAACCACTTTACCGATGGCCATGCAGCATTACTCCGAATGATATTGAGAGAGATCAATACATTATTTATAATATAATAAAATATAATTAAAGATAAAAAAATATAAGTAAAGAGATATCATATTGTAAATTTTTCTAAATATTTAAGATTTAAGAAAAGATATTTCTTTGTGAATGTGTCTTATTTCTATGATTTATATTTTAATTTTTGTCTGCGTATTTAAATAATAAATTTGAAGAAATAAATGAAAATCTAAGGGTTTTACGATTATAAAGTTTATTACAACAAAAATAATGAATTTATCGATGGTATTATTTTTAATTGGTATTTTAGGATTTATTCTTAACCGAAAAAATATTATCCTAATGCTGATTTCCATTGAAATTATGTTATTAGCTGTTACGCTATTGATTATTTTAAGTTCTTTAAGTTTTGATGATATTTTAGGTCAAACTTATGGTATTTATATTATTGCAATTGCAGGAGCGGAATCAGCTATTGGACTAGGAATTTTAGTCGCATATTATAGATTAAGAGGTAGTATTGCTATTAAATCATAATGTATTTAGCCATTCTTACATTACCTCTATTATCAGCTATTGTAGCAGGATTTTTAGGAAGAAAAGTAGGTAGAACAGGTAGTCATTTAATTACTTGTAGTTCTCTAGTTTTAACTGCTCTACTAGCTTTAGTAGCATTTTATGAAGTAGGATTATGTCAATCACCAGTTTCTATTAAATTAATGAGTTGGATTGATTCTGAATTCTTACTAGTATCATGGGGATTTATTTACGATAGTTTAACTGTATCTATGTTATTACCTGTACTTATCGTATCTGCTTTAGTACATATTTATTCTACTAGTTATATGGGTGAAGATCCTCATAATCAAAGATTCTTCTCATATCTATCAATGTTCACATTCTTTATGTTAATGCTTGTAACTGGAGATAATTACCTTGTAATGTTTATCGGTTGGGAAGGTGTAGGTATTTCATCTTACCTATTAATTAACTTCTGGTTTACTCGATTACAAGCTAATAAAGCAGCTATTAAAGCTTTGGTAACTAATAGAATTGGTGATTGGGGGTTCAGTATTGGTTTATGGACTATTTTCTGGACTTTTGGTAACCTAGATTTCACTACTGTGTTTTCGTTAGCTCCATATATTAACGAAGAAGTAATTACTATCATTTCTATCCTATTATTAATTGGAGCCATGGCTAAGTCAGCTCAACTTGGTTTACATGCCTGGCTTCCAGATGCGATGACAATAAACTTCTGTCGCAATAAATTTAGCAATATGCTGGGAAGTCTTTAAATATAATCTTACTTTAAGAGTAATAATAGATTATCTTAGACAATCAGCAGGTATTAAGCCTCAGAGACTATATGCTAAACATTATAAAATAATGAAGATAAAGTCCAATTCATTGTTAAACAATGATATTTAATTGGGAAGGTTTTTCTTGGGCTTTCCTTAAATTTCACTGTATGCGGGAACATCCTAAAACTATTTGGTCCACTCAAGAACAATTCTTGCTCGGAAAAATCCAAATGGTAGGACAATCCGCAGGAAACCAAACACTATTAGATAATGGTGCGATGGGATCCTCAGAGACTACACGTGAAACATTAAGAAATACCGAAATAAATTCATTAAATTTAGATTCAAATTTTAAATACTGGTTTATTGGTTTTACTGAAGGTGATGGGTCATTTATTAT